GTGTGTGTGTGTGTGTGTGTGTGTGTGTGTGTGTGTTAGGGGGGAGGAGGGAAACAGGGACGAGGCCTTCGCAGCAGGGATACTGGGGCGATTAGCAGGCACGCCGCAGACGAGCATGCTGGTAGTGCCTCAACACCGCCGCAGCGCCCCTGCGACCCCCTGAACCACCTGGCCCCATTGAAGACCTGAAGGCACCCCTCCCCTACTCAACCCACCACCCTAACCCCCACTCCCCCCTTACCTGCGGCGATCTTCTCCAGCTCTGAGGCGCAGTCAAACGTGGTGTACCTGGGACGGGGAGAAGGGGCAGCGCAGGGCAATAACCGCATGTCGACCCGGCAAGACAGCAACGTATCCCGCTTCCGCCAAAGGGCCAGCCACGTCCCCAACCCTGTGGCTGTCTCTGCCGACCTTGGTGCCAAAGAATTCCAAGCGGTGACAATGGTGGCCACACCAGACCGGGGCTCCCCGCGTGCTGCCGCGCAGAGCCAAAGCCAACCCCCCGCCCCCCCCCCCTTCCGTGCCCCGGCTCACTCGACCCCGTTCTCCGCGGCGTAGCGGAAGTCGGCCGGCCGCTTGCAGGGGTTGGCAAAGATCACCCTGCTCTGCGGCACGCCCAGCGCCGCCGCGCGCCCCAGCTCCTGCACCGACGCGCAGTCAAAGCCGACGCCCAGCGCGTCCAGCATCGCCAGCAGCCCCGGCTCGGGGTTGCACTTGACCGCGTAGAACGGCGCCACGCGCGGCAGGGCGGCGGCCCACAGCGCGTGCAGGCGCGCCACCTCCCCCAGGTCGTAGATATAGAAGGTGTCCGCCAGGCCCCACCCGCGGATGAGGGCCGCCGCCGCCGCCGCGATGCCCGCCGGCTCGCCAGACGGCGCGCGCGCGGCGCCGTAGAGGCCGACCACCGCTCGCGCGGCGGGCGGCAGGGCCGGCGTGCGCAGCACGGCCGGCGGCGGGTGGCTGTCGCTTTGGGGCGACGCGAGCGGGTTGTCCGAGGCGTCCAGGCGGGTGTTCACATCCTCCTCCATCGCCGACGACGCACCGCTGTTGGTGGGGGAGGGCGGCGCCGCGGCCCCGCAGGCGAGCGCGGCGATGCTGCCGCACACGTTGCGCGGCGCGGCGATGGCGGCGGCGCAGGGGGACGCTGCGGCGCAAAAAGCCTCAAAGGAGGACGCGCTGGCGGTGCAGGGCGCCACGGGGGCCATGGCGTCGGCTGGGGGCGCCATGTTAAAGGTGCGGCAAGGCGAGGAGGCTCCGGCTATGGGGCTGCCGGCGGTGGCAGATGGCAGCTCAGCTGCTGCGGCTGGAGCGGCTGCAGGGTCTGGCTGTGCCTTGTGGGAGGAGCTCTGGTGCAGTTGACTGTACAAGCTGTGTTAGCCAAATCGCTTGTGACCGTGCCGTCCCTGCGTAACACATGGTGCGAGGGGTTGACGGCGCCCGGGCAGCAGGCAGTCAACAGGGGCGGGAGCCGGAGGTGAGGCCCGGCAGCCAGAAGGGGGCGGAGGTGAGTGCCCAAAATGCAGCCGGCACGCCAGCCTCGCGCCGCCTGCCCAAACCCCAAAGCAGCATGACGCTCGCGCTGCTGCTCATATCCCAGATGCAGCGGCTTTGCATTTGGTTTGAAGGAAAGGGGGCAACGACCCGTGCATGGCACACACGCACTGACGCTGCGCACTCCGCCTCCCCCGTTGCACCCACCTTGCACGGCTTGGTACCCTGGGCGACACCGGTCGGGCCCTGAGCGAGCTTCTTCACGCTCCCCCTAAAGACACATAGGCGCATTCTTCGCGAGCGCAAAGGGTGGAGAGGTGCAGGCGTGAGACATGCCCATACCAGCCCCATGCTGGCGGCGATGTGTGAGGGGTGGTCGATTGGCACATCCGGCGCTGCGCCCGGTGGTGCTTGCAATCCACAGACGCCAGGGCACGCTTCAAAGCGATGGCTTCAAAGCGATGGACCATGAGCCATTGGCTGAGGGTCCCAGGAAGGGCCAGCAGGCAAGCATAATGCGTCCATTATCAAGCCAGCATGGCGGCCTGAAATCCCGGCATCTTGGCCGTATCTGAATCAAGAAAGATTAAAGTATTCATGCGAACCTCATAGCTGCTACCAGACGCAGCCTTGATCCCAGAAGGCGCGTGCTGGCTCGCCTCACCTCAACGCTTCTCTGTGAGATGCCCCGAGGGCCTAACTGTGTCCCTTTGCCTATAAAGACTTGACTTTGGTCCTCTGGAGCGTGCCAGCGCGCCAGATGGTGCTCCGCGGGAGCGGGGCAAGGATGAGAATTGACCAAGCGCGGCAGCCTGGGATGGTGCACGGCGGTGGAGTGCCAAGCGGTTCGTGAAGGTGTTGCTGAAGATGTTGATTTAGCGGACTGTCCGAGGTTGACGAAGAGCGGCGAGCGAATTTTGTGGGGCAACGGATCGACGCAACACTCATCTGATGGTCGTGTGTGTGCAAGAGCGTCCAGTTGCCTGTGTGGTGATGGCGGAGTTGGAGCAGTTTGAGATGCTCCTATATCTATTACAGCACAATGTTTCAATTGCAAGGTGCTGCACAAGGCGAGGAGCAACTGCTAACCGCTTGCACCACCTCGGAGGCGGGCAGGCGGCCTGGACCCGGCGGCCCCAAGTGCGGCGCACACAGCTGCATGGATGCCATTGCTTTTCATAGAGGTTGACGGCAGTAACCTGTTGTCGACAAACCTATGCCACCTTGCTTGCTTGCACAGCACGGCGTACTGCTCAGGAGGCGTGGTGCAGGTGCTGGGGAGCTGGGCTGCTCGAGCTGACGCTGCCCAGATACAGCATCGGCGCTTGTGCAGCTGAACGGGCCTGCACTTGTTGACACATGCGACAGCGCAGCAGCGATGCTGTTGGGTCCTCGAACTACTTGCATGTGCCACGGGACTCATGCATAGGGGGACATGCGTGTCTGGGGGAGTGGGGTCCGCAGAGACAAGGTGGGTACTGCAGCCATCTCAACGTGATCGCCGCCTGCTCCTTGTCGACCCCCCTGTCACGCCAATCAGCACACGTGTGAGATCAAGAGATGAGTGTTACTCGCAGGAACCACAGCACCAGAGTTTAGAATGGTTTTGTGCCGGGCACCAAGGCCCTCGAAGCAGTGCCGCCTCAAGTCACCAAGTGCAGGTGTGCGCGTGCGGCGGGCCAGCTGCGCCCGCGTAAAATAGGCACCAAGCAACAGAGAAGTAAGGGAAGGCTGTGTATCTAGCGGCTGCCGGCGTTCTGTTGACGAAGGCTGCGCGCGCCGCGCGGGGCGAGGGGCCGCAGCACAAACGGCAGAGCGGCAGAGGTGCTCGACCTGGGGGCCGCCAGCGCCGTGCTCAGCACCCGCGCCGTGCCCATCAAAATGGGGGCCACCGGCACTGCTCAAATCAAGCGCAGGGGTGGAAAGCTGAGCCCATTGGATCCAAAAGCTTTTGGGAAAGCCCCGCCGCACAGCACAGACGAAGGGGGCCGGTGGGCGGCCGTGACAGTGACGCGGTGCGCCGTGCGCAGCGCAAGTACAACGCCGCCGCGGGCACGGGCATCAATAGGGAATCGGCAATTCAAATCATCGGCAGTGTGCAGGCAAGCGCGGACGCTGCCGGGCGGAGCCCGTGCAGCCCGCCGCGCCAGGAACGCCAGACAAAGGGCATGAGCGGGGCGCCACCGCACGGCCGGCTCCGGAGGTTCTAGGTTGAGGCCGAGCGGCGGCGCAGCAACGCCATAGGACAACAACACTGATTGCCCCGAGGCGTTGCGCGCAACACGCGGTGGGCGGCACTGGGAGCCACAAGGCTGCGGGCGAGGCTCGCCCGATTCGCAGACCCCGAAAAGCTTTGGGCCACCGGGGCCCTGCGGCAGCGTGCGGCCGGTGCATCTACAAAATCAAGAGGCGATCAATCAATCAAAATAAATCCTGCAGGGCAGCAGGCGGACGAGCGGGGCCGCTGTCAGGGCCTTGCTGCCGCTGGCAACAGCCGCGCCGCCGCTGCATGAGGGACGTTCGACAACGGGATGCACCGGCAACAATGCTTGCTTGCATCACGGGGCTGTGGGCGTGCGTTGCCGCACGCCTTAGGGGGGCCGCCCGGGGCCGCGCCGCGGGCGTGGGAGCGCGGCATGCGCGCTTGCGGGGCTGGCCGGAGGGGCCCAACTCGCCCCTCCCCTGTCCTCCCTTGTTTGGGGTTTTCAGGAAGCAGGGACGCCGCAACCCCCCTTTGAGGGGATGGGCACAGGTCGCGCAACGCTGGCATCAAGCAAGGGAGGCCTTCGGGGGCCTTGCGATAGTCGGGCGAAAAGGGGGGTGCCCTTGGCGGCCGCGCGCGCGCTGCGGCGCCATTGCGTGCCGCAGTGCGCCAGTGGCGCAACTGCAATTCGCGCGAGTAAGGCGGCCTGCAGCGCGGCGTCGTATCGCGTTCGTTGACGCCTCGGGGGCTGCATGTTCAGGCCTCGACGCCAACATTTTCGCTCGCAAACACGTCTGAATTTGTGTGTTTTTTATATGTGTCGGGGCGAGGGATCGCCAAGCGTCACCCCCCGCCAGGAGGCCGGGTGGTTGCCCCTGCGTCCTCTGTGCAGCACAGCGCGGCGCGGTGCATGCAGGGCGGCAGCACAGCCGCCGCTGTCTTGGATAATCTATCGGCCGTCTCGCGGGGCGGGGCGCGCAATAAATGTGCTTGCGTGCCCCTGCCGCTTGGAAGCAGGACCATTGGTTGCGCCTCTCATGGCGCCGGGCCATCGCCGGCTGTGCATTTCAAAGGAAGGGAGCTGGGTGGCACCGAGGCCCCCCACGCTGGCGGTCGCAATGGTGCACGGCTGCCAGCAGCCCTGGGGGGGGGGTTTCAAACCCTGCAAGCACGGGTGCTGCGGCAAGTCTGCGCTCAAGTGGTTGCCGAGCCGCACCCTCCCAAGATTCTCGGCAGCGCGGCCTCGAACCAGAAGGGTCCGCACGCCCACACACGCACGTCACGGCCGCGCGCCGATCGGTGGCACCGCCACGGGCACGGGCATGGCCGGCGCCGCGGCGCGCGGCTGCTGCGGGGCGCCCGCGGAGGGCGGCTGCGGCGCGTCAAACTCCGATATGAAGGCCTCGATGTGGGGGAACACCTCTGTGGGCACGTCGCGCCCGACCAAGGGGCAGAAGTGGCCGTAGTGGTGCTTGGTGGTGCCTGTGAGCGTTGGGGTGGGTGAGTACGTGTCACGGTGTGTGTGTGTGTGTGTGTGTGTGTGCGCGCGCGCGTGTGTGTGTGTGTTCATGTGCGCAAATGTGTGCGCTTGTATGTAACCTGCCATCGCAAAGCCCGCAGCAGGAACGGGCAGCCTGTCTAGCCCTGCCCCAACCCGACACCGCCACCCTTTGAATGATGGTGGGCGCGCACCGTACTCGGGGCCAAGGAAGAGGAACCGCCTGTGCGGGCCCCCAAACAGGTTCACCGTCTTGAGCCCTGGGGGGGGAGGTCGCAGGCGGAATGGAGGGCAAAGATGAGCAGGAGGATCAGCGCAGACCCCCAGACGGCGCCAGCGCTACCACGCTGCAGGCCTGCAGCCAGCGGACGAGCACACACGGCCCCGCGCGCAGACGGGGCGGCCCCGCCCGACGCAGCCCCGCCGGGCGCCCCGCCCTGTTGCCCTGCCCTCCCTTTTGATACAACAGGCAAGCCATCTCACCTCCGGCCGCGGGGCAGAACAGGTCGCGGTCCCCGTTGATGGCCATGACGGGCGTGGTGGTGTGCGCCAGCACCTTGGGGTCGGCGTAGTTCCAGGTGCCATCGGACGAGGATATGCCCAGGGGGCTGTTCAGCGACCCCATGAACTGCGCGACCACGCCGCTGGGGATGAAGCTGAGGAAGCTGCCGAGCAGCTTTCGGGCGATGCAGGGGTCCACGTTGTCGTGGACGTAGAAGAGGCCCTGCACCGCCCAGGCCAGCGGCGCCAGCAGCCCGCGGAGGCCCGCGGTGAAGGGCACAATGTGGCCGGCGTGGAACCCCGCGCGCGTCAGCCGCGACACGTGCTTCCCGACAAACGAGTGCCAGCTGCCGGCGCCGAAGCAGCCGCTGGCGAGCAGCGTGACGGAGCGCAGCGCGGACGCGCACTCGAGGCCGCGGGAGAGCGCGCCGACGGCGAGCATGCCGCCCATGGAGTGGCCGACCCAGTGCAGCTGGGCGGCGCCGCTCAGTGCCAGCACGGCGTTGACCACCGTCGGGAAGTCGATCAGCAGGTGCTCGTCCACCTGGCAGGCCGGGTAGGGGTTTGGAGGGAGGGGGGAGGGTCAGCCTTACGGATCGAGGGGCCTCAGGGGCGCGAGAAGGGCACTGGGGGAGGGGGGCCAACAAGGCGCGCCGGCTGTCCAAATCAGGGTACCCGGTTGCACAAACAAGGGGGGTTGGGCAGACGCCAAAGCAGGGGAAGGCGGGCAGGCCAGGCGTCCCTCACGTACACAGCGCCAGCTCCGACGCTCCGCCGCACATGCACCAGCATGAGGGCCGCCACCAGGCAGCCACTACATCCGCCCCCCCAAGCGCAGCCCCTACCCTCTTAGCGCTGCCCTTACCCCCACCCGCTGTCCCCCCCCGGGCCACTCACCGTCCACCATGTCTTGCGGTCCCAATAGTTGGGGCGGTCGCTGCGGCCGTTGCCGCGCAGATCAGGCACCCTGCAAGCGCAGGGCAGGGGGGAGGGGGACGATGGGGGGAGAGGGGCAAGGTAAAGACAGAGGGCGCGTTGACCGCGAGCGTGCTCGTGTGTGTGGCGTGGGTGGCGGGAGGGAGCGAGGCCTTGAGCGCGGCATCGTACGCAGAGCTCCACCCGCCGCCGGCTTGGCAAACAGCATGACAG